GCCTCTGAAGGGCCCTGGTCGAAGCACTTGGGTCATGGTCACCATGCCAACCCACAGGGAGTAGTGCACGCATGCGATGGCTGCTGTCCTGTTTGGCACTTGCTGCGCTGATAGAAGTTCCTCCGGGTGTGCCAGCCCATGACAGACGCTTACCAGACCGTCTATAAACATTTGTGGTTGGGAGTTCATTGTGATTCTGGCTGTGATCGTCATCCTGACTGCGACGTTAAATAATTCCTGAAGAGATGGGGGCGCTCTATAAATCCCTCCTGCTCAGCCAGATCACATGGACAGGAAGGCTCGTCGTCGTACGAGGGTAAATAAGAGTGGTTGGGCTGGCTTGCTCGGTGACAACTTGGGCACAGGGGTGGGCCGATTCACACACGAAGACACTGCTCACTCAATGATGCTGTTCGGTATGTTGGATGGAGGGGAGGGTAGGTTCTAATTGGTTCTCAACTGTATACACAACCATACCCATCAATCATACATCTGCTACATTGTCTTTTGTACCTTTGATTAGTTGGTGGACAGACTGCTAACACCTCACAGACAGATTAGTGTAGGACTGTTGTATGCTACCATAGTCAGTTCTAACTAACGCTGCTGTAAGTGAACAAGTCAAAGTGCATTTAGACTATGCAGACAAACTGTGTGAATGTTGTAGACATGCCACTTGATCGGTACAGTAGGGGAACTGCCGGACACAACCATTATTAGAAAATTAGGTGCCGGTCAGACACATGCTGTGGTAGGATTCCATTAGGGAGTTCTAGTGCAGACAATGTTTGCCTAATTCATGAACGGGTCAGACGTCGACGAGGAGGGAGTTGACGATAGTAGACTTAGACGTGCAAGATCAAGAAGGATCCCGTACGTGTTCAGGACTCTAGACGAGGGAGAAGAAAGACGGCTTCGTGCCGAACGTAGAGCCCGTGCTCTCGCAGCATCGAGAGAAGCAGCAAGCCTTGCAGCTAGGGAGCAGGCTGCAGCAGCAGCCACGGCAACAGCAATGGCTACCGCAGCAGCAACCTCTGCTGCAACTATGGTTGCGTCCTCGTCAGGAACCCAGTTGGGAATGCCAACGGGGTCCCCGGGTATCTCCACTTTACTAGGGTCTAGGCCGTCTACAAGTCAAATGACGGGCGTGCAGTTCAGCCCGTTGACYCCTCRCGAGAGGGAGCTCAGGGAGCTTCAACATGTCGAAAGGATCCGTGAAAGATTAGAGAGGGAATTGAAACAGGCTACCGACAGAGAAAAGGAGATCAAAAATAGAACAGCCAGGCTTGATACTCTAGAGACTGACAAGGCTGAGTTGGAGGGCTTGGACGATTCAGGAATGAACGAGCCCATGAAAGTGTCGAGGAACAACATGCTGTCACTACATGTGCATGTGGACAGCAGGTTGGACTTCATGCAGAACAATTTAGACCAGATCTTGGACGCTTTGATAAGGCCAGGAATCCGGCCACCAGCACAATCGCCGTTGCCGTTAACAGCAATGTCAGGTCCCTTTCCCTTACAAGCTGGCACACATCCAAGTGGTACGTCTGCAGCAGTCTCGCAGACCGTTGCGTCTTCTTCTTTGGGTCCAGTGGTGAATGCTACATCACCAGCAATCTGGACAGCAGCAAGGTCAATGGTACCCCAAGACCCCAATGAAACCGCCTCTTGCCTTCTCAGGCAAGAGAAAGGACGAGGAACTCAACACATGGTTGAGGACGGTCCCGGTTTGGGTGAAGCCCAAAAGGACCTTGCCAGAGGATGAGGTGGTAACTGCGGCATCTTACCTAGAGGGTAAAGCAACCAAGTGGCTAGATGGTGTAGTTGTGAAGGCCGGGTACGAGCGACGCATGGTGGATTGGGCTAAGTTTTTGACCTTAGACCAATTGATGGAGATGGTAGAAGCTCAATGGCATAACCCACAGGAGGCTCAAAGGGCCACTGATGCCATTAACAAACTAGACCAACGCAAGTTTAGGTCAATTAGGGAGCTTACGACTACCGTGGAGAAAGTTCAGGGCTTTTGCGACATTCTGATTCGCCATCTTCGCGGGCTCACTGAACGAGGGAGTAATTGGTCGAAACTTCATCGGGTCTTTGTGCTTCGGGAGCGCGTACGCCTTCCCCCAAGATCCTTTTTCATTCCACTTCCCGATCCTCTTCAGACCTCTCTCCTCGTATTCCTTCTTCGCCCTAGCCATCACTACTTCCTCTTCTCTCCAAACAGCATCGAAGGCTTCGTTTCCCCAAAAACTCTCACGCATCCCGGCTTCGTAGCTGGCTGGGCAAACTACCAGCGTTTCCGCCGGATTTTTGTCCAGCGGACAGAACACCAGGCCCTCCCACCTCTTTTTCACTTCCTCTATGCTATCAAGCAATCCATCCTTTCGCTTCCTTGCCCTCCATGGGGATCTCCTGGCTTCCTTGATGGTCTAGGTCGACTCGATCCCGTTCCTAATCATCTCATCATTTAATTCTCTGCACAGTCTCCAATCCTCATTCGCACTATCACACCCTCGCACCACATTTTTTGCATTCATGATCCTGGGATCCACATCACTTCGAGTGCTCAGACGGAAGGATACGTGTTCCCCCTGTCGGGGGAGGTCGAGGCTTGCACAACAGCAAACCGAAACCATCTGGCGACTGAAGCACCTATGGTTGTGGAGAAGATCACCAACTGTCTGGTTTTTTCGCCAGACCAGCCTTAGCTTCTGACAACGTATCTTCGTCTCCGTCGGTGAGCGACACTGAGCAGCAATCTTCTCAGTTGAAATCTTCCTAATCTCAGCTCTCGAGACCCTCTCATCGTACTTCACTCCTACCACTGTTTTTCTCCGCAATGAGACACCAAATTTCTTCCTTACCACCCCATCCACCACTGCCTTTAGCGTTTTCCTAGTTGCCTTCCTTGAGAAACTTCGAATATTCGAAAACAACACCGCCAATTCCTCCAGCTGCAGCTCTCGTAATTTTTGTCGCTTCCATGAACACTTCAGCAACTGATGCAACTTCCGTTTCTGGACTGGGTCCCCCGGCTGTCTTTCCCTTACCCGTAAGAATCTGATCTCCCCTCCTTCTTCAAAGAACGACTTCCCTCTCTTCAGTTTTCCTTTCAATCCCTTAAACTGCAAATCAGACTCCCCAAACCGTCTTTTGACTACATTCCAATCCTCGCCCCATATCTTTCCTCCGGTCGAAAGAACGGCTCTCTCCTTCTTTCCTTTGACTTTGGCAATAGCAGTAGTTAACTTCACGGCGCTCTTCTCCCCAGTTACTTCGAATCTCACAACCTTTTCGTTATTGAAATATCTTCTCCGCTCCTTCTTCCTCTCTCTCCTTCCTTTTCGCTTCCTCTTATTCCTTTTATTTCTTCCATCGTTACATCCCTTGACGTTTAGTACAGGACACCACCTCTTGATCAACCTTGCTTCCAGCCCTACGAGCTCCTTCTTATCAGCCACAGCTACCGGTATCACTATATATGACTCCCACCCCCACTTCCGAAGCCATGTATACAACTTATTTCTCCTCCCCGAGTCTTCGGCGCAGGTTCTCCACACGTGCTCTGCCCATCTCTCGCTTAGTCCACGTTCCGTGTTACCAATATATACTAATTTACACCATGGATTAATGAGCGCATAAACGCAGGAGTATGGATCATCCCACCTTTCCCTATCTTTCTCGAAAATATCCCAGCAGCATTCGACAAATTTCCTACCCCACTCTAACTCACCTTCTAGAGCTTGCAGCAGAATTACATTCCTTAGAATCCTCTCAACCAAGTGCTTCAACTTCCCTGCACTACGGTTAAGTTTACACCACTTTCGGTATTCCAGGAATTCAAGCAAGGTATCCCAACTCTCGCTCTTACTCGCCCGGCTCACCCTGAGGGTCTTGCCCGTCTCCCCTTATCTGAGTTTCATTAGACTTGGTTGACGTCGATCCCAATGCACTCTTACCTCGAAAACAGAAAGTTACTCGCAACTCCGCGAGAATATCGATTGCATTGTTCACTCCGTAGAAGGGAACTCCGGCTCCTTTGCACATAGCATGTAGAGTCTCCGGGTAAAAAGACCCCAGAGCCTTGCGCACCGCCTTCCTATATGTCGCCTTTGTAGCGAACTTCTCACCGAGAGGAACACCTTCCCAAGGATCTTCACCTCGAGCGATCCTGTTAGCTTGCGCCTCTGCCTTTCTTCTTCATACTCGACGGCGTTCCCAACTCTTCATGCTTGCCTTGCTTGGACGGCGTTTCAACTGGCGGGCTATTCGCAACGTCGCCCGTAGAGTCTCTTCGCTTCTTCTTGTCTTTCAGGGGCGTCTGCTCATCTTCATCTTCATCGCTTTCGGAGCTCGAAGACGGCTGCTGCTGCGGGTCTTCACTCTTCTTTTTCTTATCGATTGTCACCCCTTTGATCCCTCTCCGTATGATCTTCTCAAGCTTTGTTTCATATTCTTCCCTTTGTTCAGCGAGCAGCTTCTTGATCTCCCACTTTCTTCGCTGTTCTTTATCTTCTTTTGCCTTCTTCTTCGCCATCTCCACCCTAGCCGCTTCCTCCTTTGCGGCTTTTTCCTCAGCCTCTTTCTTGAGCTTCTCTTCCGCCTCCCCCTTCGCATCTTCGACCACCTTCTGCTGGTCGATAAGCTGCTTAGCCATTCTTCCCACGACACTTAGCGATTCCTCCAACTCTTTGCTTAAGGCCACCGTGCCTCCTAACAAACCGCCAGATGTTCGAACTTGCAGCCTCGGGCACTGACTTTTGTAGTACCCTAGTTCATTGCACTCATAACAACGGACTTGTCTGCCTCCACCTTCCCCAAATCCCTTCCGTTCGTACGAGTCAGCCGACCCTCCTCGTCTTTCATCCGCTCGCCACTCGCGTCGATAGTCCCTTCCTCTTTCACGTCTCTCATCCCCACTATCGTAGTCATGGAGCCTCTCCCTCCTTTCACGAGAGTCATACCTTCGGCTCCCCATCTTTGCCTTCGGAAGTTAGCTTTACACCACTCGAACTTCGTTACCTCGGGATCTTCACTTGACTTCTCGCTTACGTCTCTTTGACATCCAGAACTGTATCTACAATAGTACCGTGGTACTTGGTCGTCACTTGATTCTCTTTCCTGAAACTACTTCCTCCACTCGGCGTTCGTTGTCGCATACTGTAACCCGGCTCCTCACTGGCACCATACTCCAAGTGACATGCCCTGGATGGTTGCAGTGCTCGCTCAAAGCAGATTGAGAACGGTGCAGAAAGTGCTGACGCATAGATGCAACGTGTTGTTCACTCATGGCAAACATAGATAGACCGTAGTCAAATCGAAACGAAACACTTTTGCCTTAGAAAATGTCGATACAGCAAGGCATAGCAGCTGCGCGACTACGTCATACGCAAGCGCACAACTCGTTGTCACACCTCGCTTTCCCCGACGCGTTTCGGCTGGTGCCAGGCCCAGCCTCCTCAGGGGGGCGTTCCGAAAAGAGGACCTATTTAAATTATCTTGCGGCTATTAATACCAGAGCAAAAGCAGGAAAAAAACAGGAAAAGCACACCCACAAACAGACAGCAAAACAACAAACTGAACCAAAAAGGTTTCCGACCTAACGTCCCTACTTAGCTAATTAAGCTCTACCCCCAAAGGAAAAACTCCAATAGCTACGAACCGTCAAATCCGACAAAAAGGCATACTCAGATATACAAAAAAAAAAAAAGGATTCAGTCACTGACAAAAAAAAAAAGAAAAAGAAAATAAAATATTAAAAGGATGAAAATAAATAGAAGGATTCACTGGGGAAAAAAAAAGAAAAAAAAAAAGGATGACAAGAAAAAAAAAAGGCAAAAAAACAAACGAAACGAAGAACAAAGGATGGACCTCGCAGATGCCTGCCAACATTCTGAATGTACCGAAGCGTAGTTCTGGACCCAATACATTCAAAATCTTGGCATTTGGCGAGCGTAGCTGCAAGCCCCTGCAATACTAACATTTCTAGCTCAGGCCACACTCACACTACGTACCCAAGATCTTTTTTTTTTTTTTTTGGTTTTACTTTGTTTGGTATTAAAAGGACATGAACAGAGGGCGAGATCATTTTTTTTTTAAACATGGAATGCCCGATTCGGGAAAATAGTGGCTGGGCCCCTCCCTGTGTTACATTGCTTCCCCATTTCGCAACAACCAAGGCTGACGCCCCCTGGATTTCGGGTTCCTCTTCGACTGCTCCAGTCGCACTGCGAGATCACATCTCCTAGCAATATCTTCGTCTTCGAATTTCTTTCCATTTAGATGAGATGCAAGGAACATTAGTATGGACGAAGCACAGAAATCCAGAATGCAAAATCACACTGAAGTCCAAGTATTCAAAGCCAAAGCAGATAGCACATGGAACCGAGTAACCATCCCATTGAGAATGATACAGAAGAATCGTGAGTCAATGTCCATGCCCACCAGGGCAACACCAACAGCATAACCCAAATATAGCTCTCTCTTGTGAATGGCGCCAGGCACCCTATCTACTCTACAGCCTATCCTACAACTACAACAATGAACAGCAACCAGACAACTTGACTACCAGCGAGTGATGATGTCAACACCAATGCAG